GCAAGGTGATCGTTGGCAAGGTGATCGTTGGCCAGGTGATCGTTGGCAAGGTGATCGTTGGCAAGGTGATCGTTGGCAAGGTGATCGTTGGCCAGGTGATCGTTGGCAAGGTGATCGTTGGCAAGGTGATCGTTGGCAAGGTGATCGTTGGCAAGGTGATCGTTGGCAAGGTGATCGTTGGCAAGGTGATCGTTGGCAAGGTGATCGTTGGCAAGGTGATGAATAAAACTTACGCAAGACGGTAAGTCCTGTGAGGACGTCGGGATGGTGCAACAAGGCGCCGCTACCGACAACTCCCGCTTGAAGAAAGAAGCAAAGTTGTCCCGGATCTGTGCCGGCGTGGCCCACTTCGTGGCCAGGTCCGCCTCGTGGCCAGGCCCGCCTCGTGGCCAGGTCCGCCTCGTGGCCAGGTCCGCCTCGTGGCCAGGTCCGCCTCGTGGCCAGGTCCGCCTCGTGGCCAGGTCCGCCTCGTGGCCAGGTCCGCCTCGTGGCCAGGTCCGCCTCGTGGCCAGGCCCGCCTCGTGGCCAGGCCCGCCTCGTGGCCAGGCCGCCTCGTGGCCAGGCCCGCCTCGTGGCCAGGCCCGCCTCGTGGCCAGGCCCGCCTCGTGGCCAGGCCCGCCTCGTGGCCAGGCCCGCCTCGTGGCCAGGTCCGCCTCGTGGCCAGGTCCGCCTCGTGGCCAGGTCCGCCTCGTGGCCAGGTCCGCCTCGTGGCCAGGTCCGCCTCGTGGCCTCGTGGCGCACCTGTCCCATCAATAGCCCAGTGCCACCTATTTGCCAGTGATTGATGGAGCAAGAGGAGATAACAAGATCAACCAATCAGAGCGAGACTGGCAGGTACAGGCACGTCACCATTGGTCGGTGAGCCCGTGGGATCTTTGCTTTCGTCATTCAGTACGGCGACATGTCTTATTGACGCTCACAAACTCACGTTTGCAACAGTGAAGTTGCCGATTTGTCAGTATCGCATCAGAGTGGAGACATGAAACCTGATTTACCTGGTTGGGGCATGAATCAAGTGGTGATCTGGGCGGGCAGTTGTGGGCGGTCACTTGACGTGGACTCGCAGCTTAGAGCAAGGGAGAGACGAAGCAGTTTGTAACGACGATTTCAGGTTGCAGGAATTCCGAGGACACTGCGGATGCTGCAGCTCACCACACATCTAGAGCAGCAAGTCACCTGTGAAAAGTTCTCTTTGCGTGAACTAGTCATGATGACTGCGTTTCCCTAAACCACAGAATCGGGCACGTCAGGACGTTATCTTTGAACAAGATTACCGCGCCATGGGACCCTCGTTATCCTCATGCTCATTTCAAATCGTTGCGCAAGATCGCGACCCATCAAAGATCTACTTTAGTCCCAAAGGTCGAACTGTCCCATCAAAGCTTTGGGATAGCTCGACCCCAGAGACGCCTTCACCAACTTACTGTGTATTCAAAATCGATATTTTATAATATATAAATTATCATGATTATATGTTAGAAATTGGTGTGAGGTTAGGCCTAAATTAGGTTAGGTGTTTATGCTCTGTTGGCAATTATTTCTGTTTGTAGTACGTGGGTGAGTACTAACTCCTCTTTCTAGCCTGGCAAAAATCTATCCAGAGACATTGCAGTAGCAATGCAACACAGACTTGGTTACAAGTGCTGCTGGGAGGTAATAAACCCAATAGTTAATGAGTGTCATATCTGTGGAACAGAAGCAAAGGCGCCACTATTGCATTACTTACTGGAATGTGAAGCAACTGAAGCCCTGCACATCAGACTCAACATTCAACCAACAAGAGCAGCCGCATTAAATGCAAAATCCACAGCGACTACAATGGTTATAAAAGCAGTTGAAGAATGGGACACACTAGTGAACACTGTACATCTATATCCGCCACCAAGATAATGTTATTAAAAAAAGACTAAAACCAATGCGCTAAAACAGAAACGGAAAAGAAACTGGAGAAAAGAAGGAAACCCCACCTCCATTTAAAACTTTGTCCCAAATATGACAGTAACAAGGTTATCGCGAATAACCTAACTCAACTACGGGCTCACCATAGCCCGTGCTACATGGACATCTTGTTCTGAGTAGCTAAATCTAAAACAACAACATGGGGGTGAGGCACTAACAAAGGTGTCATTCGAACAGAAGTCGTCAGTGAATCACTGTTCGAGAAATTTTTCGAAAAGTCATCAGTTATGAGTAGTGTGTCAATGGTTTTTATTCCTAAAGAGGATGTTTGAACTAACGAGCATTTGGCGATGTTAACGAAGACGGGCTGAGGACCTTACAACCACGTGTCGTCACATGACACGTGGTATATGCTGACGAAGAGTCACAATAACGGGGCTGAAGATAGGATGACCAACCCCACACATCAGAAAATGAAGAAAGGACTTTTCCGTGCGTCCCGGACCATTATCATGTTGAGTAATACCGGACCAGGATGGCTCGAAACGTCGTCGTTTCTTAATTTTCTGATGTGTGCTTTGGACATCATGCCGTGTGTCCTCCTACACAAAGGCCACACACTCGGTAGCCCCACTAAACCCCTTATGTTTATGAATGAAAAACTCTTTACATACGACTCCCCTATACGGCGATGGCGAACACTGTATACGTCTGTATACGGCGAATACAATTAAATGCTAACAGAACCTATGAACCTTACCTAACCTAGACCTAACTATACGCGAAATACAATATTAAGTATATTATTATATTTGAAAAAAATAGTACTTCAAAATACAGAGTATGATAAATTGAGGAGAGCGTCCGTGGGGTCGGTGGCAGGTAGACTAACATATGCTGAGAATGGGTTGCTTGTCAGACAGTGGAAACTTACTAACCATCGGAACACGAAGCGTTCACGAGCCTCGGACTGATAACTATCCTGTGAGGTAAACTCACTGGATATGTGCGCCCCTTGAGGGACTTGAGGTAGAGGATAGGAATAGCCTAAGCTACTCTATTCCTTTGAGATGTATTTTATTGTCTCAATAAACGTATTTGAACTTGAACTGTTAGGTAATAAGCCTTACTGAGAACCACCTAATTTAGAGAGAGAGATTAGGGCACAGTATTATTCTTGGTTGTTACCGAGGCGGGCAGCTCTAGTGACTTGGTCTGCTCTGAATTGAAATTGAAATTGAAATAAATTTATTGAGGTAAAATACACACAAAGGGATGAGGTAGCTCAAGCTATTCTCACCCCGTTCAGTACATCGTGTTAATACATACATATACACACATCACAAGCAATAAACATATTACCAAACATTCTGAGAGATAAACATATACATTTCCTTGGTCTGCTCTGTGTTTTGTGTTGTATATTTAATGCCTCGTGTATTATTTGAGAGCTTTTTGCGTAAGGTGTTGTGATAGTGCTCTCAGTGTTCCAGTGTGAGTCGTGTGTGTGTAAAAGGTCTTCCTGTATAAACAGGAGGTTTGGTGGCTGGATCAACGAACATTTAGCCTTTGTTGAGGAGGCTGGGCTGACTCTAAACTCCTGTTTATACAGGAAGACCATTTTACACTCACACGGGAACACTGACTTTAAACTCACAACGTTCCAACTTTTCTTGAACATTGCTTTCCACTATGTCTGTGAACAATTCGCATCTCTCTGAATGCTTCACTCACGTACTGCAAAAAGCAAATAATTGTCAACAGAACCAAAACACTTAACCTAACCTAGAACAGGCATATCCATACACAAAATTTCACGTTTTAAGTTTATTAATATTGATAAAGTGTGGCTGTGGGGCGAGACCCATCACGCCTCAAGGATCTTATCTTGAGGTTATCTTGAGATGATTTCGGGGCTTTAGTGTCCCCGCGGCCCGGTCCTCGACCAGGCCTCCACCCCCAGGAAGCAGCCCGTGACAGCTGACTAACACCCAGGTACCTATTTTACTGCTAGGTAACAGGGGCATAGGGTTAAAGAAACTCTGCCCATTGTAGGATGGATCAACGGATGGGTTGTATTATCACGGGACAACAATAAATAACAACCCCTCAGGTTACAGAGGTGTGTGTGTGGGGGGGGGAGGAGTGTAGAAGTGGAGTTAGGAAGAGGAGTGGGAGGGGGTGGGAGGGGGTGATACATAAGGAAGAGGAATGGGAGGAAGAAATTTTACGGGTTCACTATAGCCCGTGCTATACCTTGAGGTTACCTTGAGGTGCTTCCGGGGCTTAGCGTCCCCGCGGCCCGGTCGTCGACCAGGCCTCCTGGTTGCTGGACTGAAGGACATTTCGTTCTGAGTAGCTAAACCTAAAACAACAACAACGCCTGAAGGCAACAAGGTTTTATAAAGAGTGTTTTGAAGCGGGTTGGGTGAGGACGTGAGGGGGAGAGAGAGGGGGTGGTGGGGCTGGGTCTAGCCCTCTGTGCTCATCTAATCACATCAATGAAGACCTGGTCATCTCTACGAGAAGGTTACTCAGGTGAGGGGACTCCAGAAGCTTAGCAGTGAGCGCGGCGGACGGCTGTCCTCCAGGCATTCCCTGTATTACCTGTCCTCTGGACGGTGTCCGTGACAACACAGGCGGACGGACCCTACGTCCTGCCCCCACGCACTCATGCCCAAACTTGCCCTCTTTCTCTCTTTGTTATTTTATATTAGTCAATCGTGCACACCCGCCCCCCATACACTGAGCAGCAACCCTCTCCCCATCACCACCACCACCTTCTCCCCCGGCAGCACCACCCTTCACCGCCTCTACCCATTACCAAACCACTTTTGCTTAATTTTAAGCACGAAACACCTTCACCGTGACAGTCGGCGCCCACTTCCCCAACACGCCCTGGAGGTAACCTTCAGCGCCCCCCTCGCCCCCACCAGGAGACTCCTGCTGGTGGGTCTCTCCACCATACTTCATTTGTTTTCCCAGTGACTAGGCCATATCACTCCACCTTTTCCGGTAATTTTCCCTTGAAGAGAAAGGGGGAAATCGGCTTAGCCTTGAAAATTTCCTCCAATTTCCTGATATTTGTTGTTGATGAGTAGTCAATCTCCACGAGAGACAAGAGATGAGTGTTTGCTCCCTCCTGATGTTCGTATCCTGCTGTTTGCAGCCTCTTGGTGTTCGCTGCTACTGTTTGCTGCCTCTTGGTGTTCGCTGCTACTGTTTGCTGCCTCTTGGTGTTCGCTGCTACTGTTTGCTGCCTCTTGGTGTTCGCTGCTACTGTTTGCTGCCTCTGCCTCTTGGTGTGCTGCTACTGTTGCTACTGTGTTGCTGCTACTGTTTGCTGCCTCTTGGTGTTCGCTGCTACTGTTTGCTGCCTCTTGGTGTTCGCTGCTACTGTTTGCTGCCTCTTGGTGTTCGCTGCTACTGTTTGCTGCCTTTTGGCGTTCACTGCTACTGTTTGCTAACTCTTGGCGTTCGCTGCTACTGTTTGCTGCTTCTTGGTGTTCGCTGCTACTGTTTGCTGCCTCCTAGTGATCATTCTTGCAAAAAGACGAAATATAAATAAACTACTTTACCAAATTGGTAGATGCCAAAAATAATTATATAAATATAACACGAAGCTAGTTTAGGTCATTAATTATGCACGCCGCACTCACCCTGGGAGCGGCGGTGAGATGGTTACACACACACACACATGGTGAGTTATTCAGGGACTGAACCCCCAATATTCGTTTAGGTAATATTGATTATTAGTCTATAATATTAGTAATATATCTAGTAATATTTAGTCTATCAGCATCGATAGACAAATTGCAGCGTCGATAGGCAAGTTACAGCGTCGATAGGCAAGTTACAGAATTTGTTATACACGATTATATAGCGCTGGAAAGGGATCAAGAAAAGGATGTGGGATGGACCACTTGGACGGTCGGGGATCGAGCGCCGACCTGCATGAAGCGAGACTGTCGCTCTACCGTCCACCCCAAGTGGTTGAACAACAATAGCAAAAAAAGCGTCAGTGACATTTTCTTAGGGACTCGCCCTAAGGCATTGTAACACCATTGTAGTGGTGTTACAATGCTAATCAACACACATAAATACATACACAAGAGACCTGCAGGCACAGCCACCCCCACAGTGTGCTCACTATCCATAAAAGACCAACTTGGGATCCCTGGCTGGTGGGGTCTGGATAACATGGCATCCAGGATAAAGTACATGAACACTCCCATGCTCCCGAAACAGTACAATTGACTTCGTGTTGGATAAATAGCCTCGTGCAAGGAAGGAACTCTCCTCAAAACATCAGTTCTGGAGAATTCACTCATAAAGCCATGTCGGTTTACAGTGTCGAAGGCTGGCTACAGGTTTAGGAAAGTGGTGGTATATGAGTTTTCAGTGTGCAGGATGAAGGTGGTAATGCAATGTTGCACACTCTTTCCATGCATGGAGCCATGTATCTGGGGAGACAAAAAGGTTCTAATTCTATGGGAGAGACGGTCTAGGTTACCTAGAATCGTCCTCACGGGAGAAGGAGGAGGACGAGGAGGCGGTACCTGGATCACCTTTGAGCTGATGCTGTTGAAATCCGGTCAGTCCACCTTACTTGCCACCCTCAGATCCTGGTGAAGAGCGCCAGGGCTTCCCACCAGCTGTTTCCAGTTTGGAAAAAATCTTTTGACAGTGAAAAGTTCTTGTGACCCTTCTGGTGAACTTGGAGAGGGGGTTCTTCACTAGACTTGACCCGCCCCTCTTATGGGTGCTGCCTTGACGTGGCGAGGGGGCTCTTGTGTCCTGCCCTGGCGAAGGGGGCTCTTGTGTCCTGCCCTGACGAGGGGGCTCTTGTGTCCCGCCCTGACGAGGGGGCTCTTGTGTCCCGCCCTGACGAGGGGGCTCTTGTATCCCGCCCTGACGAGGTGGCTCTTGTATCCCGCCCTGGCGAGGTGGCTCTTGTATCCCGCCCTGACAAGGGGGTTCTTGTGTCCCGCCCTGACGAGGTGGCTCTTGTATCCCGCCCTGGCGAGGTGGCTCTTGTATTCCGCCCTGGCGAGGTGGCTCTTGTGCCCCGCCCTGACGAGGGGGCTCTTGTGTCCCGCCCTGACGAGAGAGCTCTTGTGTCCCGCCCTGACTAGGTGGCTCTTGTATCCAGCCCTGACGAGAGAGCTCTTGTGTCCCGCCCTTGGTCTTGTATGGGTGGCCTCTGTTCCCCTCTCCAACCCCCCTCACGGACCCCCCCCCCCATACACCCCGTGGCTTGGCCACCAGTGTACCTGTCCATAGAGATCAAACTATCCCTCATTTCTCCTCATCAAGAAGTCGAAGCTACCGAGTGACTGTGTCCTGAGGGGCGACACACCCCTCTGGTGCAGGGACAGGTAAAACAGGAGGCTCTGTGAGGCCGGACTGAATTAATTGGCTAGAATGGCCAGTGAACCTAGCCGGTCCTGGGCCATGAGGGCATTGATTCATTGTTGCCATCGGAGGTGGCTTGTTTATTGTGCACCCCATACTCATCCTGTGAGCGGTAGCGCGATAAAGCATTACAGAGGGGCACAAAAGGTCTTTATCAGAAAATTGCAACAATTCCATCTGTCATGCACACCTTATAATTATACTGTCAGATAGTTAGGAGAATATTCCATTTCTATAGGTAGGTATTAACGGTTGATCATTATATATTCTTTTCACTTTTCGACAGATCTTTTCGCTAAATACATCGGAGGATTGATATCCTAATGGTTCTGCGTTGGTCTTCACATCCTCTACTTGTTATCTGAATATACTCTCAGTGCACTCTGCTGTTGTTGTTTTAGATTAAGCTACTCAGAACAAGATGTCCATGTAGCACGGGCTATGGTGAGCCCGTAGTTGAGTTAGGTTATTCGCGATAACCTTGTTACTGTCATATTTGGGACAAAGTTTTAAATGGAGGTGGGGTTTCCTTCTTTTCTCCCGTTTCTTTTCCGTTTCTGTTTTAGCGCATTGGTTTTAGTCTTGTTTTAATAACATTATCTTGGTGGCGGATATAGATGTACAGTGTTCACTAGTGTGTCCCATTCTTCAACTGCTTTTATAACCATTGTAGTCGCTGTGGCTTTTGCATCTAATGCGGCTGCTCTTGTTGGTTGAATGTTGAGTTTGATGTGCAGGCCATCAGTTGCCACACATTCCAGCAAGTAATGCAATAGCGGCGCCTTTGCTTCTGTTCCACAGATATAAACCTCTTCAACTATTGGGTTTATTCCCTCCCAGCAGCACTTATAAACAAGTCTGAGTCTGTGTATGGCTACTGCAATGTCTCTGGATATCTTTTTCCTGAGAGTAGTACCCAGTGGCTTGTTCGTACCACATCGCAGTGGATCTACCTTCCACTACTTTGGCTCTGTGGCGACTTTTGATAGTTGGGAGTATTTTTGATGGATTTGCTCCTTAATCCGTGAGAAACTTGGGGATATTTTAACCTGTACAACAGGTAGAGCAGTGGCAGGTTTTGCTAGCGAGTCTACCTTTCCGTGTGCACTCTGGGGTAACTGGAGTGCTTGCACCCCTTCAAGGTGGGCACTGTGGTGGGCGGTGGTGCAGGGGGGTGAAGTCTAATGTATCTTGTTCCATGTACACTTCTCCAGTCACACCACACTCCTCGCCCTGGTGTAGGGAGTGTGGTGTTACCAAGCTCTCCAGTCACACCGGCTTCTCCCCCCGGAGTACCTCCTCTCCCGAGGAGTACCTCTCCCGAGGAGTACCTCTCCCGAGGAGTACCTCTCCCGAGGAGTACCTCTCCCGAGGAGTACCTCCCCCGAGGAGTACCTCCCCCGAGGAGTACCTCCCCGAGGAGTACCTCCCCCGAGGAGTACTTCTCCCGAGGAGTACCTCCCCCGAGGAGAACCTCACCCGAGGAGTACCTCTCCCGAGGAGTACCTCCCCCGAGGAGAACCTCACACGAGGAGTACCTCCCCCGAGGAGAACCTCCCCGAGGAGTACCTCCCCCGAGGAAAACCTCACCCGATGAGTACCTCCCCCGAGGAGTACCTCCCTGCAGGCTCCACAGGTCCCGTCACAGCCCTTGGCTCACTGGAAACATCTATTGCGTTGCTGCTGGTCATTAGCTTGCATATTTTCACAGCATGTCTTCCTGAGTGACTGTGTCACGGGCGCCATATGCCGCCCTAACTACGCGGGGCCGCAATGACTGGTCCCGGCACCAGTATCTCGCACACTCTTCTTCTGCAGGCGAGGAGTCACAATAACGTGGCTAAAGTATGTTGACCAGACCACACACTAGAAGGTGAAGGGACGACGACGTTTCGGTCCGTCCTGGACCATTCTCAAGTCGATTGTGACACAATCGTGACACTGGACTATTCTCAAGTCACAATCGACTTGAGAATGGTCCAGGACGGACCGAAACGTCGTCGTCCCTTCACCTTCTAGTATGTGGTCTGGTCAACTTACTTTAGCCTCGTTATTGTGACTCCTCGCCTGCACAAACCACATTTACCATATTAAAAACCAGAAGCACACACAGGGACCACATTAAGAGAGAAAAACACATTCACGGACAATAACTTGTTCCAGCATCCACACAATCAGGAAAATAACTGCCGTAGCCCGGGACAGGAAGCCTGCACTTGGGCTTATCAAGGTCCCCCCTAGGGCCTGGGCCCACTAATAACTTTTCTTGGAATGCAACCCCCACAACAGTTGCCTAGCTCCCAGGTACCTAATTTACTGCTAGGTGAACAGAGGCATCAGGTGCAAGGAAACGTACCCATCCGGTAATCGAATTCGGGAGTATTTCCCCGACAGTAAGTCGACGACGAAGACCACTGTACTATAGAATCTCCACAGGACATGGAGAATTATTTTCTAGGCAATCATCTGAGGGGTCAAACAAACAAACAAACAAACAAACTCCTCCATACACGTACCTTAGTGACCGATTGTCCTTTACTAAGTGGGCGACACAACAGCCGGAAATGCCCAAGAACTTGTGTAAACAAAATGTGTATATATGTAAATTTCTGGGAAAGGTGTGAAAAGAGGGTTTTTGACGGGGATTTGTCGACGTCTGAGACGGCCGTGAAGTGTTCGGGGCGGGAGTGGCTGAGGCAACACTGAGGTGTGGTCTTGACGTCTTGAGACGTTCAGGGAAGAGTCAAGTTTTGTGATGGCTTCCTCAGTGGCTGAGGCAACAGTCAGGTGTGGTCTTGACGTCTTGAGACGTTCAGGGAAGAGTCAGGTGTTGCGATGGCTTCCTCAGAGGCTGAGGCAACAGTCGGGTGTGATGTTGGCTTCCTCAGTTATTCACATTCGTGTTGTCTCCCTGTGAGGGAGAAATAAGATGCCCTTTTGCCGAATCTCATCACTTTTGTTCGAAATACCATCAGCATTTGTGCACCAGATTTTCAGGCTCCTGGTTACAGGGTCAGCTACACCATCTACCTCTTTTGGTGGTTGGGTACTTGAGGTGGAAGGTATGGGAGAGTATGTGAATACTGCAGGATGGAGGTGGTGTGGTAGAGAGGTGGTTATGGGAAGGTGGAGGAGGAAGAGGAGTGGGGGAATAGTGAGTATTTGGTGGTTGGGATTTGTGGAGATTTTGATGTTTAGATGGGCTTTGGACAACGATTTGGGATAGGTGTAGAACTGATTGGGCTGGATTTGTGGTTGAGTGGTTTTGAGTTTGTGGGGGGTGAGGGATGAGGGTAAGGGGGTGTAGGGAGGAGAGGGGCAGTTTTTTTTGGGGGGGTTATTGGGGGAGGAGGGGAAATGGATGTAGTGTAGAAGAGACGAGGACCTGGAAGTGTGGGCGTGTCTGAGCCTCTCTCTCTATCCTTCACACTCACATAATTACCCTTTTCCTTATTCTCCATCAGCTAACTCGACCCCCACTGTGCTGCCACCACCCCTACACCCATCAGCCGCCCCCACCATGTTTCCCTAACCATCACCACTACCACTATACATGTGCACAACCACCAACAACAACCCCCCCTCCCCTTCACCACCCACCACAACTACCACTACCCTCTTCCCAGCCACACCACATCTACACCCAACCCTCACTATACTTTCAATCACCATAGTTCCACCTTGCATAACCAGCCTGTCCCCCCCCCCCACCTCAGCTCGACCCCTCCATACTCAAGTTGACCTTCAACTCTGCTCCTCCTCCTCCCAAACTTCCCGTGACATTGACCTCCGCTCCCTCTAACCTGCACAGGTAGGTGGT